GTTTGTTTATAACTTTAAAGAGATCGCGTTTTTTGTACAATGCTGAGTTGGTTTTAGTTAGTGCTTCATTTATATATAATTTATATTGTGCTTAATATTTTACTCTTTCGGGTTCTTTTTATTTGCATGTACTGAAACCCTATCACGATAACTAACAACGCGTACTGTGATATCTCTGTGAAACTAGCCCTGTTTGTCACCAACTCTGTGGGTACGCCCAATATATGACTTGTCAAGCTTGATAACACCATCAGGAAAAACATAACCGTTTTATAAAGACAGAATAATATCATCCATATTCAGCTAACTCGTTGATATCTTCAGGCACGTACGTCGGGAATATGTTATTCAAAATATATGGTTTTATTATTGACTTTTATATTTGAATTGTATCATAATCGCTGACGTTAAATATTATATATATTGCTATCCCCTGTTTTTGCGAAGGTCCGTTTGAACGAGATCGAATCTCGTTAATTCTCTCGTTTGAACGAATTAATTATCTAAGCGACATGCAGAACTTTAGATCCTAATACGTAATATGATTTAAGACCCAATTTCTTTAGTTTATGTTGGGTTGCCGTCAGTATAGAGGGAACTACATTTATGAACCGGGGAGTCGGTATAGAATAAATTGGAAGTTATCCATGTTTTAAAACCCACATGAATATGATTGCTTGTCAGTAGGGCTTACATATTAGGGATTACTGTAAATGTTGTCACATGAACTTCTAGTAAAAGATTATCCCAGAGTAGATTTATTTTCAGTGTTGATTGTGTTGTGACTGTGGGTGAGTTTCTAAGATAGAGGAGGATATAAAAAACAAATAATTTGCGCGGGTCCTCAAATGATACGAAAAACCGCGGAGTGCAGTAGTTGTATGCAAAACAGAACACGAATAGTAATAATGCCCATCCATTATTTCACATTAACTATAACGTTATACAACTTGTTGATGACGGCCAACATAAACGGTACATTCCACGATTCGAACAGCTTGTGTTTTGTCAAACACGACCTCAGGCTAAAACTGCACACTTTCGAAAGAGTCAACATTTTCCCATTGCCCTAATGACAATAGTGTGCCCTCTGTTCCTACTGCACATTCCTTGTTTCAACCGAATCCAGAGATACTAAAAACCAATCGCGCTCAATGACTGTACATGCATCATCTATCAATCCTCATTGTTTTGAAACGGAATTTTACGCCCTATCCTACAATAAAGATGGATCATAGATTCGAGCTCAGGGTTAGCCGAAATAGTACCACAGGATTTTCCGTTGTGGTTTCCTCTTGTTATTAACGTAGGACAGAGAACCTGGCAATGTATGACGTCCAGTCATTCGGATGGGACAGGTTATCGAGGCCCCTGTTGGCGTGCATGTAGAAGAGCCCTTTGGAATTAGAAGGCACACTACATGGCGTATGTCAATCTCCGTTACATCCCATTTGTGGAGGAAAGTAGGCTCTTCGTTTAACCACAGAAAGGACAGAAAACAGAGATTTACAAAATCAAATTCTGAAATAATAATTGAAATTGTGTATGGAAAATTTCACCAGTATGATTCAACGTTGACGTAAACAGAATCAAAGTACGTGGGTTGGTAACATATTGTTGTTTTAATTTAACAAAATACAAGTAAATACATGTAAAATTGCATGTTAAATTTAGTTTGATATTTTCAAATAATCAATAAGTTTATGATGCAATATTTATTTCATCTGTTTAACATTTAAAATATCTTCCTTTCCTCACATTTCTCAGCTGAGTATTATGTCCTATACATGAATCTTGTTGGTCAACATGAATGTTGATCTTTTGATCTGTATTTAAAGGACCAGAGTGTGGGGAATACACGTGCAAAACGTGTGACATGGGACAAGTGAAAAAAAACCCCAAGAGTTGCGTTTGCAGGAACAAAGTTCATTACCGAGAACTCATATTGGGTTCAACCCCAGAACTCCACTAAAAGAGACTCACCACAAGTTTCACCTATGTGCCATAAGATAGGGAAGCCCAAGAAGATGATTACCGAAATATTTCACGAATTATTCATTGCATTTTTAATGGCTTTGAGTATATTTCGATTGAACAGATGCTTGGAAGTGACATGTAGAAATTGTGACCCTAATATATGTTTCAAGTAAAGGTAATGTGATTTAATACGTATACTTCTTTGCTTTATCTAGTAGAAGGAACTATATTTATGACCAGGGGAGTCGGTATACAATAAATTTTAAGTTATCCATGATTTCAAACCCCAGTGTGTATACGATTGCTTGTCAGTAGGGCCTATGTCAGATGATGAATCTATAGTAAAAGATTATCCCAGAGTAGATTTATTTTCAGTGTTGATTGTGTTGTAAGGTGGGGAGAGACTTTGGGTGAGTTTCTAAGATAGAGAGGGATAGAAGAAACAACTAATTTGCGCTGGTCTTTTTTAGAAAGTCTCTAGTTCTCGGATGATGCGAAAAACCGCGGAGTGGAGTAGCTGTATTCGAAAACAGAACACGGGTAGTAATATTGCTGCCAAATGTATGGAAAATTCCACCAGTATGATTCACCGTTGACGTAAACAGAATCAAAGTAGGTGGGTTGGTAACATATTGTTGTGTTAATTTCACAAAATACATGTAAAATTTCATGTTAAATTCAGTTTGATATTTTCTAATAATCAATAAGTTTATGATGCAATATTTATTTCATCTGTTTATTTAAAATACCCCCTTTTCTTACATTTCTGAGCTGGGTATTATGTCCTATACATGAGTCTTGTTGGTATATACAATCATTGAATTGGCCTTAGTCATCATTAAACCTCTGAATTCTACTAATCCAATCCACTACTCTGGTAACTCTTGTTAGAACGTATCACCCCTTAAAGTAACAATCAAACAACCCAGAACCAAATGATCTACGAGTAAATAAAAACAATCATCAACAGGGATTGGTATTCCTTACAAAGGGTACCTACCAACTTTCATATTGATTCTGTTCACTAATGGGGAGAGAGTGAAATGGGGTTTAGCGTCCACTCGACACAAACTAGGTCATTTCGGGACTAACATATGGTTCAATTTTATTTCCATAATTCGCTTGCGCATGGGGTTCTTTAGCAGTGGGAGGAAACCGGAGGACCTGAAGAAAACCCACGAAGTTGGACAGGCGACCCTACACCTTGTCACGTATAACCGGGGATTCGAAACCACGCCAGTTGACTCAATGACAGACTTTATGGTACAGCACGCACGTGCTAACCATTCAGCCATCCAACCCCCCTATTCACTTATGGACGAGGAGACGCTCTAGATTTAGACACCGGGGAGTGGCACTAGTGTACAAAGTTTACTGTAAACCTGACCTAGAAAGTTACTGGTGACAGAATAAATGACAATAGGGTTCATGGTATACGGTTAGCGTATTGGTCTTGAATATACTAACCGCTAAAAACGTTCCCATGGCAATTTCCGAATTGTATTTACATTTTACTAAATTCATTTCATTTATGGCAAGGTTTGGGTGCATTTGTGGTGGACTTTTCAACACAAGGGTTCCACAAGATATTGTACTTCTGAAAATAAATACATTCCACAAGATTTTCATAGTGTTTTGGGTCTGTGGTGTTTTTTTTACCATAGTAGTTCCACAGGATATTGGACTTGGAAAAAATAGCTAAATAAATAAAACTGAATCTGATGGTTATGAAAATATTAATCCGGCTGTGAAATCTATTCTAGAAGACATCCGTGGAAATTGAGGTCGGATTGAGCTTTGACCAACAGTGAAATACGGACATACTCTTGTCATTGTCTGTCACACACACAAATACAATTTGTATACCAGTATGATTGATTGATTTATTTGGCACATTAAACTATAATTTGGGAGCCCTTTTAACATTGGATCCCTGTCGAAGCCCGATCAGCACCCTACTTAATCTCGATAAATTTTAGCCCACGTAGTTTTCTCCAAACATTGTGCCACAACCTGACACTTTTTAGTCCAGTGCAATATTCATGAACTTACTAAGAGACCATAATCAACTCTCTATGCCATCGTCTAGATTTTCATTAGGTTTAAATACGTTTCACGGTTGTTGATTTACCGTAAAAATGGATAATTGACATTTTGTTTATTATCGTAAGAACGGTAACCAATGACAACACAGACTATCCTGGTCTTCTAACGACGATAGTTCGGCTCAGAGTAAAGTAATTCTTAACTATTATAGCGAGAATTGTTAGCTCTTCGTCTAATATTACATAATTGTATCTTCAATGACAACACAGACTATCAGGGTCTTCTAAAGACGATAGTTCATGAAATATTATATAATTGTATCTTCAATGACATTCAGTAAATCCGTGATTGGTGCGCACGTAAAAGACCCCTTGACACTTGAAATTCAATATAAGAATAGGCCGTAATACCAATCTACGGGCGAAGTTTCCCTCACAGCATGCCTGTCTTCATTAACGCATTCAATGCAGGACGATAAACCCCAATTCATTTCATTCATATTTATTTATTATAATTTTAAAATCACTTGCTGTTGTATATTATATGTATTATCCTTTACTTGATAATGGTGGGATGGTGCTAAACGAGAGAGAGAGAGAGAGAGAGAGAGAGATTTCTCGGGATTGCCATATGCTTTAATTTTATTTCAATAATTCAATTGAGGGTAAGATCTTTAGCTGTGAGGGGAAACTCGACACAGAGAAAGCCCACGAGGTTAGACAGGCGTCCCTACTCGAAACCAGTCAATGAAAGACCGTGTGATCCAGCGTGCGCTCGTTAAACAATTCGGCCACCAAACCCACTTGACGCTCACAGACGGTATCAACTGATACCAAATCTGACAATTCCTTTATCAATAAATATAAAAAACATCATGCTCATATTTATTACATGAAAAGGGTCCTAATTCACCAACAAAAACCTAATAAAAACCTAAACCACATGGAAAATGGGGACCCTTTATTTTTTATTTTCAGTTTTCACGCTCAGTAGAAATAAATCCACGTTATAGCCACAAATACAAACAATACACGTCATTGACGAATCATGGTTACCATGCGTCGTAATCAATAATAATATTTAACACCTCCCTATGTAAGTATTGAGTATGGATGAATCGTGATTACCATGCGTTGTGAAAGTATTGATTATGGACGAATAATGATGATGGTGCGTCGTAATCAATAGTCATCAATATAAGATATTCCTCTCCACCAATAGTAATACTTGGCTCCTCCCAGTGGACGTGGTAGCCAGCTATCTTTCTCTTCCCAATCGATGACTGGTACAACTCTCTTGTGTTTAAAAGGACGCGTAAGGAGAACACTCACCAGGAGCGTTTAATTTCAAGTTACAATATGTATACTTCTTTAATTCTGGTGTATCTTGCGGTGGCTCTTACTTTTTCAAGTTGTACGGCACACAGAGGAAGATGGTGGAACTCGCCGAGACGACCTGAAATTGGCCTAAGAAGTTTACATTGTGATAAAGTTGAAAAATTTGATCTTTGTCGCTGCTGTCCAGGTAGTTATTTTTATTTTCCACTTCATGATATTCAATTCAACTTTATAATTTCCAATAAACTCTAAATCAACTTTAGCTACTGAAATGGATGCTCGGTAGTTGACCTATGATCGACCATATCATTCTTCTTATGGTTGAACGAGAGCAGGTCGGGATAAAATAATTTAAAGTAAATTGTCAAGGCCCAGTACTGAATCATAATTCCTATTTTCTCCTACTGGTAAAGCCAATCTACGTGGAAGCGAATAACAGAAGTTAAATTGAACCATGTGTTAGTCCCTAGATGACCGTTGTTTGTATGAAGGGGACGTTAAACCCCATTACTCTGTTCTGTTTATGTCATATATTTGTAAAATCCTGTGTTCATAAGTTAACCCGTGGTTAACGAAGTTCGGTCGCCTGTCCATCCAACCTCGTCCTCGGGTTTCCTCCCACTACTAAAGACCCACTATGCACAAGCGAATTACTTAAGTAAAATTGAACCTTATGTTAGTCCCAAAATGACACAGTTTGGAAATGGGAAACTGTTAATACCAGTAATACTGATAACGAGTAAGCCCTATAATTAAAGCGTCTTGCACTGTTATCATGTCTGACACAATTCTCCATTAAATAGATGGGATTTAAAGACGTGTAAACGCCACTGAAGCGGATTTTTTTTTCATCAAAATCGTTTTATATTTAAAGACTATCTGTGTGCGATATAGAATCCCATGTAAACATGTTTTATCTGCTATATCACCCCGTGTAAACATGTTTTAGAACTATAGAATCATGTTTTAGCTGCTATATCACCCCTTGTAAACATGTTTAGCTGCTATATCACCCCGTGTAAACATGTTTTAGAACTATAGAATCATGTTTTAGCTGCTATATCGCCCCTTGTAAACATGTTTAGCTGCTATATCACCCCGTGTAAACATGTTTTGTGTGCTATAGAGTCCCTCCCTTAAAATGAATCTCGCATATGAATACCAGCCCACAAATGCAGGGGCGTTTTAAGGTTTATCATGGCAGAGTATATACTATTTTGAGGAGGGGGGGGGGCTCTGTCCCCGGCAAGAGGAGGTCGAGAAATTTTGCAAAATAGAAAATATTTTGGTGCATTCTGACATATCCTCCAGGCCCCTCGAGGCCGGTTTAATCTGAGGGCCGGGCCTAATTCGATACTCGTCTGAAGCCTGATTGCGACACAAATCACCGGGAGCTCAATCAAATAATAATTAATGGAATATGGTGGATTTCAAATAATATTTGAAGAAAGCTTATTAGTAGGTTTTCAGAAAAGGTGATTTCTTGATTGATGATTTTCATGCCAATGCAATGACTGCATTCTCATTCAGTAGTGAACTCGACAGTAACAGTGTATAGAAAACGATTGACTCGGACTCGGGGGCCCTTTCCCTTGGCCAGGGGGGCCCTTTTGTCAGACGTTGGGCCCTTTTGTCTGCCTTTAGGGCCCTCCCTAACTAGGATAAATTTTCATTTTTCTCATCGATTTTAGCATTTTTGTCCCGTTTTATGTTTTCAACTTCTTGGGTTTTTTCGCGAGGAGGCTGGCGCCTCCAGCACCTCAGCTATAAAACGCTTTTGCACAAATGGTTCAATTCCGTTCAATATTTAAACAGACGCATTGAACATCTATGCTACTTGGTGAACCAAATTGATGGGTCAGTTTTACATCCGGGCCCGTAGATTATCTAGCTTTGTTGTTTTGATTTTGTTTTCTTAGTTAAATGTTAAATAATCAGTCTATGTACACATTGCCGTGGATTACGCTGTGATATTCTCCTCATAATGTCAATTATACATAGTTACTGTAATGTGTAAATATTACTGTGTTTTTCAGTAGATCCATGCGATAGCGTGGAATGTTTGAACGGGGGGAACTGTGTAGGTGGTATTTGCGAATGCGTATCTGGTTACAGTGGACCAACGTGCAACAGTAAGTATTGTTGTGATTATTGTCTTAGAGCCAACACTACTTTATCTGCTAGTAAATCATATGGTTTATGTCTAAATAATATTACTGTGTTTTTCAGTAGATCCATGTGATAGCGTGGAGTGTTTGAATGGTGGACAATGTGTAGGTGAAGGTTTTTGTAATTGTACCTTTGGTTTTGGTGGAACTACTTGTAACAGTAAGTATCTGTTATGATTTTGGTCTTTATAATAAACACGTCACCTACCAGTGAATCACATGATCAGACGAGACTAGACCTCACCTATTGTCCATAGTGCAATGATCTCTTATCAGATGGCCTTATCGCCTTAAATCATACTGAATATATAACATTTCTAATATATTACCAATATTATAATCATTTTACAGTAAGAGTATGTAACTTGACCAATATTATAATTATTTTACAGTAAGAGTATGTAACTTGACCAATATTATAATTATTTTACAGTAAAAGTATGTAACTTGACCAATATTATAATTATTTTACAGTGAGAGTATGTAACGTGACAGAGTGTACAGAAAGAAATGATGGACAATGTATAATATTAAGATGTGAGACCAATGGTAAGATATCGAGTTTTTTATCAGCTACATTTATAACAAATCCAGTTATTTATTATTCACATACGACTCAAATAACTATTATGTTGTTATTTACTGATAAAATTAAAGTTAAAATCCACTCTGGGTAGTAATCTACAAAATATTCCATAGATTGTTTATCATATTTCATGCAATTATTTCAAAATGGCTAAAAAGGTAAATCTTAAATAATTTGACATTTGTCTCATCTGTAATATGGTTATATTTTTCAGCCACAAATTGTGCAGGTATAGCCTGTAATACAACTAACGACGAAGTTTGTATTGATGATACGTGTGTAGACAGAAGTAAGTATAACATGTTATCTGTTCGTTGATTAAAATTGTATTATCGTACCTCAGAATTTATTTCTAACGAATATACAAACAGTTATATGTCATTAGACTATTACCCGTAACTTTATAAACAGTTCATAAGATGATCAATTTCCATAAAATTAATGAAAACATTGTCAAAACCTCATAAAATCTTAAAATCTTGGGAGCTGTTCGACTTACTGATTCCACAAGATTTACAAACTGTTGATATTTTAACTACGACTTAATAAATTGCATAACAATTTCACGAAACAGTCTGAAAACAGAGGATACAGATAGCACCAACACAATCCGTGACTTCCTGTATGACACGGTCAGCAACCAACAAATGATTTACCGACATGTCATAATACGTTAATATGGCGTTCAATTTATATTATATACATGTTTTATATTTCAGGTAACAATTGTGCTACTACTATAGATGGCATACTTAACTTCTGTGCCTTTATTGGTATGTTGTTTGTTTTACTAACTTACAATATTACATAATTAGACAATATTTAATTGAGCTATATTCATGTTGGTATGTTAGGAGTTAATATACACTGATTATTTAATATCTATATGTAACAACTCAAACTATACACAGCTATATTCATCTTTAATCATCGGCGAGAGCATTCTGTGTATCCCCAATGATATCGTTCCGTTCTACTCCATAAACCTCTGGATCCATATACGGGATTATCTGCACTTGATCGTAGCTTGATTCTACGAACCACTCAAGAAACGGTTTACATACCAGTTGTAGCATCATTATATAATTTTACAATTTATTTGGCATGTTAGGAATTATATAATCAAATGAATGATGATGATATACATTGATTGTTTATTTCTCTATATTCATGTTTAAGTCTGGGTGAAAGAAACCATAAATAAATCAGAATCAGAAATGCATTGTAGTAGCACCCATCACTCTAATTTATCAATTGTTTCAGGTGAACCATGTGGGGAAGGTACATTCTGTGATAAGAGTACAACTTGTGTAAATGACACGTGCAGGTGTAAGTATAACATAGATATAACGCATCTTGTCAATCTGATGAAAGAGGAACACCTGGTAACACTATCCTATGTTGACTGATTTGACATATCTTGTAATTTGTCAGCCTGATTATGTTACAATTTTATCTAATGAAAGAGAATCTTAAACACCATATTCTATATTGTAAATTATCTTTATTATAGCTGTAGGTGCCTGTAATGCGCAGAATGATGATACAAATTGCGCCTCCATCACTTTTGGCTCTTGTTCAGGTGGAGTTTGTCTCGGTAAATATGATCTATATTATAGACAGTAGATCATTTACATCCACCCGATGTATTTATATATATTTATACCAACTCGAGTTATTTATTTATTAATTTTATAAATACTATGACAAGAAATCTGTAAATCTAACTAATTTATATTGGCTTATTATGAATACTACTGTCAGGGATATGATCACCATCCTGATAGCCTGGACAGTCTCCAGCTATAGAAGTGTTGAACATTCAGAGCCAACATTCAGATATATCAGATATTATCTGTCTGTTGAAACTATAGAATAAATAACTAACTAACACACTAAAGTCAATGATAAATATTATAGAATAGAACTGTTTTTTAATCTAAATATTGTACAATCTACAGGGGATTGGTCGGTCGAGTCATCTAACGCACGTTTATAGAATATAAGGCCTGTTATCCATACAAGTAGTTAATGAGCATAACCCCCTGGTTGAAATAAAGCGTTCTGTGTTAGAAATGAAATGAAATGAAATGGGGTTTAACGTCATATTGTTCTGCTCCTAACCTGGGCTAATGAGGACGCGCATACGCCATACATTGTGCTATGAGGAAAATTTTGCCCGGGCAGCGGCGCTACGGCCTACTCCTATATCCAATTCCAACTGCCAAGGGATCTTTTACGTGTACGCCAATGTGTACATGGGACCTCGGTTTTTCGTCCCATCCGAACGACTAGACAGCTGTCCTTGTCAGACCCTCTGTCCTGCACTACGCCGGAAAATCTGGATGAACTTTCTCGGCCAAACCTCCAGGCTAGCGAGCCAGCGTCTTATCCACTTAGCCACGTGATCCGATAGGACCTAATCATTGATGTTGACAGGTTGTTATCTGGACTATATCTATGTAGAGATAGTTTATTCTCCCGTGTGTAATAATATATTACTTATATTTATAGAACCATGTAGTGACGAGAGTGAGTGTAATGGTGGGCCATGTATTGGTGGATTCTGTGCAGGTAAATATTTACTATTTTATTTATAAACACCTATCAATATGACCTGTTTTGTATAACCATCACTATGACTCAATGTGTATATATAAACATTTTTAATGATACATTAGTTAAGAGCTAAATCTGTCTGTTGCAAGTCTTTCTTTAGGCTTCCGATGTTATTAGACCTATATTTACATGGCAAGATCAAAATCAACCCTGTAGACCCTCGGATGGCTTGGATACAGCTTGGATTTAAACAGTCGTACATTTAATAATTAAATCAATAAATGGCTGACCAAGCTAACATTAATCGTTAAACACTGACGTCACTCCTACAAAAGAGGGTACCGTAGCCATTGAGAATGTTACTTGATAATTGAGAATAGTTGGGTGGTGTTATCGTCTGTCAATCAAACTATCGGCAATTCATTAGTGTTATATATCATTATTTGCTTGATAACGATATCTGTATGTGTATCGAAACGTAGGATGTTAATAAATTCAGAAGTAGTATACCCATATAAGTGTCTTTAATTTGTGAAATCTACTTCTATATGTCTGATAAGGACAATATAGAGTTTATACAAAAAAATACAGTTCATGTAAATATAGAAATTAACTAATGTATCTTTATTTAAATAAGACAGAAGACTCGAGTACTTGATACGAATTTGTGTTTTTAATTTCGAATAGTTTAAAAAATATTGAGTTACAGCTCCATTAATATAGGGTAGACACAGTGGCTCAGTAATTAAGACGATAGAATGCTGACCTGGAGGTCTCCTGTAAGATCTCTCTGTTGACCGAATAACTTCATCTGGTTTTTCCCACGTGGTTTCTCCTTGTCAGTGATGCAAGGCGGGGACCCTAGCAACGGACAACATATAGTCGTTCATATCCCAATCTCATGTCATGTCCTTTAATACTGGAGAATATGTCTAGAATATTTCCTATTAAGTCACGCAAATTTACTAAACACATTTGTATGAGTATCTCCTATAAAAGCCCATTTCATGTCATGTCACGTCACAAGTTTATATTGGATATTATCAAGTTTGGTCAAAATGACGTAATAACATGTCATGTGATGCTATTTGTCAGTAAACTCGTATATAAACTCTCAGAGATTATTCGACCTTGAACCAAGATGGCCCCGTCAAACACCTGTATCAATCCATTAAAATAATTTATTTACATGTTCACCTGTAAAACTAACTTACTGCTTTTTCCACGAATCTCATTTTCTTATAAAATTTCATTTTCTGACCCGACCTTTCGATGGAACGAGTTTCGCTATGGTTGCTTGTATTATATAAATAATTTATTATATTTCAGTCGTTTACTGTGGAGAATCATATTGTTTCTTGAGAGCAAGCGACTAATATATAAAATTCAATAAACTAAATTGTAATATTTAAAACCTATTATAAGATTTAACATAATAAAGTATATTGTTATATTTAACTACTTCTTTAAAATAATTAAATGCTATTTTGTTCTTTCTTTATTAATTGTATTCATCTAAACCAAGAAATACAATAAATTCATCTGTACTTCTTCATAAAAACCAGATAAACCAACAAGTACAAGATATTAAAATGTAACCAAGATTATTGTCTATTTGTTGTTTATTTTGTTTACCTCACGTTGCAATATTGGGGGGGGGGAGGGGCAGAATTTGAGATGCCCGAACAAATTTCGGGTAACGAACGGTGGCTCTGGTCGCCTACGAGAAGAGAAGGAGCGTGGCTTACCGTATACCCCCCCCCCACCCACCCACCACATAATTTTGGGAAATCTGACAGCCCTCAAATGTTTTTGGAGACATGTGAAGTTGCCTACAAGAAGAGAAGGAGCGTGGCTTACCGTACAACCCCACCACCACCACCACACACACACCACCACCACATCTGTTTAAGCAGTGTTTTTGGAGACATCTGAAGTTGCCTACGAGAAGAGAGGGAGCGTGGCTTACCCTATAATCCCCTTCCCCCCTCACTGCCACCACCACACCATGACTTTGGGAAATTTGACGGCCCTCAAATGCGTTTTCTTGCTATTCCAGCCCATGAATACAGGGAATGAGGAAGGGTCGGGGATCTGTTTAAGAAGTGTTTTTGGAGACATCTGAAGTTGATTGTTGGAAGCAAAAGTTGGAAACTCGAAAATTCGACGTTTTGTCGGAAATGGGAAAGGGACCTGCAACATAAGATTTTCGCTATGGGAATAGGCGGCTGTAATAGAAGGGAGACAAACACAATCACATTAGGTCTCAGACTGGCAATTATTTGCCCATTGTCCATTCCATAGGTTCCAATCTTATAGGCACAATGGGACCATATATGGCAATCTTTGTAGGGGGTTGACCGTTTCGATTTGACTGGGGTGAAAATCTCACTTCCGCTCAATGATTGCTCTGCAGAAAGACATTTTACACCCCCTATCCCTCCGCTGTCATATTATCAGTATTACCTATAACTGCTATGAAATTGCAAATTTGATCCCTTTTCTCCAATTCTTGACCAAAAAGTCAACCCCAAAATGCAGGAAGAGGGGAGAAAAACATTAAGGGAAAAATTGTTTATTTATAACTCGCACTCAATCATGAAATCAGGGGAAATAACTACTAGTCTGAGACCATTCTTGAACAAAGGGAGATAATCATTTCCGGACCACAATTAATATCTTCACTGACATCAATGTTTTATTTTTCTTGTAAAATGTTTATTCACAGAATTTAAATATAGCATCAAATATTTACATCACGATACATTTACATTCATCTATAACAACATGTATTTCGTCAGTTGGTTAAAAGTGTTAAAAAGTCTGTAGATATATATATATATATATATATATATATATATATATATATATATATTCAAAAAGTTGTGGAAACAGCTCTCGGGTGATATATAAATAAATAAGATGTTTGAAAAGAAAACAAACTACATATTTGAAGCTAGCGCTTTCAGTTCCATCGGAACCTCTTCAGACTTTAATATGATAGCGTAACTATATAAACACAAATAATAACAATAGAAAGACGTCACATCCGATGTTTACAATACGTTGAGTATACTACTGTTATTAATAACAATTTAAGTTTAAATTTAGTTAAATATACAATGAAATATACATTTGTAATGAAATATATTTATAATTATAAACTACATCAGTTAAACTTTAACATTAAGTTCGGAATTGTATTTCCGTATAAATATGCTTTCTTTTATTTCTAATAGCGCTTGATTTGCTACATTTAATTTATACAGTGTATCTACCTCCGCCACAACGATCTAGATGTTCGCTTAAAGGAATAGTTCTATTTTCTGCGTTTTTAATTTGTGAACGATGGAGGTTCATTCGTCTACTTAATTGCAATTCTGTTTTGCCTATGTATCTACCCTTATTTGATTTACAATTCATATTTTGTTTGACTGTAAATATTTGATGATTTGTGACAGTGATAGACGACCCTTCGATAATATCATTACATGTTAAACACCGAGTATCATTACATTTAGAAACTGTGGGTGTAGAAGATATGGAATCAAATTTTGAAGATGTCAACATTGTTTGTAAACTATGTGGTTGTTCAAGACTGTTAATTATTGTGGTTTGATTAATAATTTGGCTCATTTTTTTACTAATTTGAAGAATATGACGGTGTTTGTCATATATTAATTTACCCCTCTCTTGTGATGGATTGAAAGTTGTAACTAACGCTATTTCCTTATTAGTTGAAACATTTTGGTAAATTTTCGGTTCTCTTAGTTTTGTCTGATCAAGGGAGAGGGCCTCTTTATTTCCCTCCAAAATCAGTTTAATAGGATAATTCTGTCGAAGTAGATAACCTTTCAATTCGTTTAGTCCGACGAGTTTAGTTTGATGGTTCGATACAATTGTGCACACTCTTCTAGATAGACTAAACGGGATGTTTCGTTTTGTATGGAGTGGATGACAAGATTTGAAATTTAGGTACTGGTGTGTATCTGTACTTTTAAAGAATAAATCTGTTTCTATTGTACCTCCTGCTGATAATTTGACTGTTACATCCAGGAAGTTTAAAGATATATTACTTTGTTCGATTGTAAACTTTATACTTTGGTCTAACAAGTTTAGTAAATCAAGCAGTATTGTTATAGTTTGTTCGTTTTGCTTTAATATAAAAAAAACCCAATCATCTAGAAATCTTTTCAAGTGAAGTTTTGTATAGTATAGGCTATCAAAATAAAATACATTATTGGATATGACCAGATCAAGTGCGTTGAGTATAAAAGATTTTGTGAAACGATCTGGTATCTCTTCTGGAAAATTATGTATCCAGTATTCAATAGCTTTAAGTCCTAACGTTCGATCAATATTATTATATAAGTTGACTACATCAAAGCTAATAAGTGTACTACCTGGTTCTACGGATTTGGGTAATTGGCGTAGAAAATCAATGTCGTCACGTAGATAACACAATTTTCTGCAACAACTTTCATCTTTCTCCTGTCTAACTTAAAGAATGGATGAACTTTCTAAAACATTCATTAAATATTTAACTACTGTCTGAACCCTTGTAAACTTTTAACGGGTTTCTTCGATTGTGAACAAACTACTTAATACTCGTTATTAATACAAACTACTTAATACTCGTTATTAAAACTTGCCCATGTGTCTGAAATCACAATTCATTGGTTAACATAGATCGTACATACTGCAGTTCTATTGTTAACATTCACGACACGCGTTACCTAGAGTACCTGATCTTTCCTTGACCCCGGGCCCATCCATCACGTGATAGAGAAAGAGAGAAGAGAGAGAGAGATATATTAATGTCCACACGACACAATCTAGGCCATTTTGGGACTAACATATGGTTCAACATACGCTTGGGAGGAAACCGGAAGATCCGGAGTAAACCTACGAGGTTGGAGAGGTGACTCTACCCCTTGTCACGCACAACCGGGGAAGCGATAGCCACGCCATCCAACCTCCACGTGCTTTCAAAATATATTTGTTAATACGTAACAGACACTATCCAAGAGATATTTGAAATATATTCCTATCACGTTAGATCTATATTTAGAATATTATCAACAGGTCACGTGTTATCTATATTTAGAAATATTGTTTTGATTTTGTCCTGTATAATACAAGTGTCCGTCTGAACAACTGGGACTACTTCCACCTTCCTATGGAGTCACGTACTACCAGCGGGATTTGGCCTATATATTGTTAGCGATGAGTCGACACAATGGGGAACGTGATTACGTTAAAGGGCCAGCGTTTCAAGGAGGTTCATTTTGTGCAGTCAAACTAAGAGTTCACCTAGAACTAATTGCCACAGATGACTTCTTGGTACCGTTGTGTTCATGGTATCACTCTATATAACATATCCAAAGTTCTCTGTATTATAAGGAATCCCCGGTTGTACGTGACAAGGAGTAGGGTCGCCTGTCCAACCTCGTGGGTTTTCTCCGGGTCCTCCGGTTTCCTCCCACTGCTAAAGACCCCTATGCGCAAGCGAATTATTGAAATAAAATTAAACCATATGTTAGTCCCGAAATGACCTAGTTTGTGTCGAGTGGACGTTAAACCCCATTTCTCTCTCTCTCTCTCTCTCTCTCTGTATTATAAGCCCATGAAAGAGCCTAATTTACATAAATTCAAAATGGCCACCAAATGTACAGTTGGAATCTCATAACTTCTTTAATATTAAGTGTTGACCTTATAAATATATCACAGACAGAAAAGTCACCTCTGTGAGTCAAAAGATCTTGTCAGAAATTATCATACATCAACCCAATGACGTTATAACGTCTTATTTTGAATATAAAGGTTTCAGCATACAGTTTTAGGAAGAAATTAACTGATAGAATTTAAATGTAAATAATCACATGAATTAAATTACAGTACAGTCCTGAATTGTCCCATTTCTGTGAAAGTCTTGGTAGCCGATCACATGACAGAAATAGTATGTATCTTTTCAACTTTTTCAAATTGTTTTCTGGGTTTAATTCACATATCATCCACATCTTCCGCATGGTACTTTGCAACATCTGGAGTCAGCTTTCTCATACGCAAGCTTTCAGTTTTGAATCTGGAAACCAGACACACCTTTCACTACCTTCTCATGCGCAAGCTATCTTGTGTTTAATTGGTTCGCCCAGACCCAGTTAACAGTCCTCTAATAGTCCAATACGGTTGTCTTAGATAGACCCAATTCACGGTAAGACGTTGGCTACTTAACCTGGTGGTCTTGTGGATGCCCCCACCCCACTTATTAGTGGCACAAGAGGGATTGTCCAGCAAACGACAACATATAGAGACCTATACAGTTGGGATTCGAAATAAGATAGGTCGTAGAGCCGCTGTCCGGGCAAAACTCCATTCTTAGCACATTGTATGACGTATGCCCGTCTTCATTAACCTAGTCGATGCAGAACAGTTGGGCGTTAAATGGCGTTTGATTTCATTTCATTTATGTCTCTTAGCAGCATGACGACTGTCTGACAACGAAAGACGTCGGGTGATATAGAAACAAAAGGGTCCAAATCTTCGCGTGCACATGAAATAACCCTTAAATAATATGAAACCCTGAGGTACACCTGTTCGCGTGCAC